ATTTGTACTGATGAACTTTCCTCTATGTTTCCCTAGAGTTTATGTATTTCAGCGCAGTACTTGATTGGCGGCCAGGTCTCATTATTTCACAGTTGAAATGGCTAGACGCAACCATAAGTTTATGCTAACAGTTTCTTTTTTAGCACTTCTTATATCGTATTCTTCAGACTTCAAGGTTAGAATTTGTGGTATTTACCAGGGCGCCCACGTTGCAAATGGATGTTACACAAGGTCGAGATTTAAAATGGGTTTCGTTAAAATTCCCATACCCCTTCGGCACTTCACAATAAACCTAGCTACCTCTCGAGGGAGTAGCCCCCTTCCTCCAGGGCTTGGGCTAATATTCAAAGAATACAATTCCCAGCCAAAATAGTTGGAATTGTTTAGTTCCCAACTTTATCAACTGCTAGAGATTTTCATAGGATAAGAACATTCTCCCTCACCTTTTTTTAACAATTTAAATTTGGAATCTCCTTTTTCTTCGTCAGGCAATTTTTATCCATTGTCGGCCTGCTAAGCCAGTCAAAGCTTCAACAGTGCTCCGTTGGCAAGCATTACCTGTTTCCACCTCCCACGACGAGGATGAGGGGTTGGGCCCACTCGTATGCCTATCAACCAACCAGCCCTACGAGAACACACCCTCAGGTACTCTGACTGGAGAACGAAAGGCAGACCAAGAATACGCTGGAGTGAGTCAGTGGTAGACACTCTCAGAGCCCAAGAGATATCTCTCCTCCAGGCCACTCGCCTTACTGCTGATGGACGACTGTGTCTACCCACGACTCCTAGCAGCACAAGCGGAAGGGTAAAGTAGACTAAATTTGGAATACTTTATTTTGACAAATGAAGAAAAGGTGTGCACTTTCAAAAAAAATTAATTCTTTGACCATTTCTTTAGTGTTCGAACCGGAGTCATTTTGGTTTTTACTAATGCATTTAGGGGATTGAGGGACATTTTTGCAGTGTTTGGGTTACGCAGCAAGCGCGAAAGGTACCCACTTAACGGCTAGGGGAGTTATATGTTCCTGGTTCAGCCCCTTCAGTTGAATCACTGGACACTGGTTTTGTGGTACAATATCTTCTGGTGCTGCTATTTTATTTCCACCCGAATCCGGTATTGGGCTATTTGAGATTGTTTATTGATTCAGGTTCGAAGATTTTCGTTCGCACCCCAGCAGGATTGAGGGGACACAGAGAAAAATTAATTTCTGAGAAAAGAAACCCCTTGAATTTTAATCTGATGCTTGCTACATGAGCATAGCTTCGATGATAAATCAAGCAGTAAGGCCTGTTGAATTCTACACCAGAACTTTAAACCCCTCATAACGAAACAAATTTCAAGTAGAAAAAGAAAATAATGCAATTATCGAAGCAATCAGGGAACAGAGTCATTAATTGAAAAGTAAATATTTTAGGATTTAGTACTCTGTCCATTTTGATATCCGAACCAATTATTAATAGTAAACAGAAGCTGTAAACTATAAGTTAAAAGTATTCGCTACTATTTCTCTGTAGATTTGTATATGTATAAAACACTTACTAAACGCTTCAAAGGAGAGGATGTTATGGTGTTCCTTCATTACCCACATTCTTAAGGGACACGGTACATAGACGAAGAAGGTGGATTATAAAAAAGCAAATATTGATTCTTCAGCATAATCCACTTTCTTTCCAATGAACTTAACTCAAATCTCCCTTAATCCCATATCTGATTTTTAATCTGTGACTGATCAAAATTCAGTTAATAACACTGCAATGAGGTGTGTGTGTGCCGATTAAAGAATATCACGAAACTTGACTCTTGGCCAATTTATGTGGCGAGATTCCCGTGCCCTCGTCTGATATGTGGACCATACATTCTCCGTCTCCAATGTATGAGAGACTGCCCGACTCCTCTGTGGTGGTTGTTTATATACCAACCTGTTCAACATTCTCTTCTCACCTCTTGCAAAATGACACAAGAGTCACTGAAGATAGCGCGTTACTGAATAAGCGTATGGGTGAAAGAAAATTCGGAAATTCAGGCTCATTTGGTTTTATTCAACCACAGAATCACCTTGCGGTTTATACTGCAACTATGTTGAACATATTTTCATTTCAGTTTCCTGAAGAGAGCGTACCGTCTGGCATGATTAACAGTTTGAATAAAGCCAGTAGTCATGATGACTTGTGGCTTTGTGCTAGCATAACCGTCGACGTCCTCCTGAGCAATTCAGTCTATCCAATTTCTAACACACACACACACACACACACACACACACACACACACACACACACACACACACACACACACACACACTACTCTCTCTCTCTCACTCTCTCTTTCTATGTATAAAAATATTGTTTTAAGATATCCGACTTGGCAGGGGAAACCGTCGTTCCTGATTAGATATGAGCACGTCGGATCTAACGACGGTTTTCGAATCTTGCCGGAAACCGCATATTTTTTAAAATAAAATTTCTCGAATATTCAAGCCAGTAGACGAAAATAATAACTAAATATACTGTTTAATAAATTAACGGAGCGTGTACTCAAATATCAGTAATAAAATACGTCGGATTAATAAACTTTATATATATATATATATATATATATATATATATATATATATATACACACAATGCGATAGATTAATTGTTGTCTAATTTACGCAATAGCATTGACATCTCATTTTAACAGCTGTATTTACTAAAATTACACAATAAATTTCTTGAAATACGAAAGATTAAATTTATTCAATTAAATCGTCATTGGCTCCAACCATGGCCTCCAGACGTCTTCAGGATATCCTGAAATATTTCTGAACGGTCTCCTTGTTTAAGTTGTTGAGTGATACCATAATCCTTGTATTTTGTTCATCTTTAGTGTTACAAGGAGTTTTGCTGGTATCTCGCTCAACTGCGCTCCGCACATAATAATTTGCAGTCTGGGGAGTTAGGTGGCCAGGTGTAATGTGTGATGTGGTCGCAGAAATTGTCTGACAGCCATGACTGGTTTTTCGTGCTCGTGTGGATTGATGCCAGACATAGGGTCTTCTAACAGCCATCCTTTTGATCCAGGGCAGCACTACATCCTCAAGGCATTTAATGTAGGCCTATGTTCTGAGTTTGATCACCCCAAACATCTTCGTAATCACCGTTAGACTCATCCAACTCTTTCCGAATCCTCGGCACTGTCCTCAGATGAAATGTTCATATTGGTGCTAATGCGTGAATGTCAAGCAGTACAGCATGCTGTTTCTAAATTTCTGGCGGAGTGAATTGTGTCATGGTGCTCTTTTTCTCACAGACGGTGCCCAACTGACCCCACTATTCTGTGTGACAAAGTAAAAAACAAACAACGCGCATGCTCGAATCTAAAAATATTAAATGGCGACAATTTATCTATCGCAGCTTGTATATATATATATATATATATATATATATATATATATATATATATATATATATATATATATATAATAAAAATAAAGGCAACTATTTTTTTCCTTTTTGCCCAGGCCATATTAATGCTCGAACGTCTTGTAATAAATTCATCTGTCCGCTTTTATACTGCTGATAATGCTAGAACGTCATCCCCCTAACGTAGCGATCATATCAGTATGAATGTCCTTCGAGTTTAAACCCTTTTTTCTGCAGGTAGTTGAGAGCAACACGATGCCTAATGATGTTTATTTTCAAGAGTAGTCGCTACGAGTTACATCTGAAGTCTTCTTTGAACAGATGTCAGTTTAGATAGAAAGAAACAATACAGTTATTAATAAAAAGTGTCGAAATTAATGCATGCAATATTTCACATCTCTAGCACCATTCCTTTATATTAAGCCCATGAATATTTCAAATCACCCTCGTACCTGGAAAGAAACAATGCAGTTCTTCATAAGAGTTGACATTTATTCAGGCAAGATTTCACAGCTGTAGCATCGCTCCTTCATAGTAAGCCTATGAACTTTTCAGCCCAGCCCCTTACCTAGAAAGAAACAATGCGATTATTAACAAGAAGAATTGCAATTAATGCATGCAAGATTTCACAGCTCTAGCATCACACCTTCATAGCCAGCTTATGAACTTTTCAGCCCACCCTCGTACCTAGAAAGAAACAAGGCAGTTATTAATAAGAAGAATTGCAATTAATACATGCAAGATTTCACAGGTCTTGCATCACGCCTTCATAGTTAGCCTTTGAACTTTTCAGCCCACCCTCGTACCTGGAAAGAAAAATTGCAATTAATGCATGTAATATTTCTGAACTCTAGCATCACTCCTTCATAGTCAGCCTATGAACTTTTCAGCCCACCCTTGTATATTAACAATTACTATGTATAACATTTTTGACGTATTATATCAGAAAATATTATCGAAAAAGCAAATATAATTATCTTCTTGCCGGAACCTATACTTTTGAATCCCCAGGCATGTAAATCCTTGTATAGTTTATGCCAATGCTCTCTTCAAGCTGTGTTCGAAAAAGGCTTGGGCTATATCCAATCACTCCCAAAATATTGCAAATGTTCTGCCCGAATATTACAAACCCTTGCGGGCCCAAGTTTCAATCTGAAGTTTGGGTGTGATCTCTGCATTCCCTACCGTTAAATATTTGGCCCGAATCCAAACCGCCTTTGCAATGCTATCTCACTTGGGACGGCATACCGTAGCAAATGTAATGAGTTTATCTCCAGTGTTGATAATCTGTGCGGAATAAAAAAAAAATAGCGTGTTTCTTTTACGGACGACTGGTGGAAGAGACATTTCATAACTTCTCACTGGACATTAACAAAAACATCAAATTATTACAAGTTTTGGGTAGATATTTCTTTGAAATTCTTCTATAATTCAAGATTGTTAAGAAATAATTAAAATAATTAAAAATGTTTTGATTTGTAACTGCTCATGCAGATATGCATAAATGTATCTTTGTAGGAGATTGTGCAAAGGCACATTTGGATCGTTGATCCTTGTCAAAGAAAAAGTCCGTATTTATAGGTGATTTCAATTTATGTATGCAATATTTAAGATACCTCTCTGTTTTACATACTTTCTTTCTTTCTTTCTTTCTTTCACTTTTCCTTTCTTTCTTATTCAATACTGTGTTTCTTTTTCGTGCATTTAAATACATATTTTCTATCTTTCTTTCATTTTTCCTTTCCTCCTTTCTTCAATATTGTTTTTTCATTATTGTCCTTCTTTCTTTCTTTCTTTCTTTCTTTCTTTCTTTCACTTTACTTTCTTTCATTCTTTCTTTTTCTTTCTCGATTTCTTCAATACAGTCTTTCTTCCTCTCTTTCTTTTTCAACTAGTTAATCATTCATTTTCAAAGTTATCTTTCTTTTCTTTCATATCGTCTTCATTTTATGCGTTTTTTTCTTTTTTCCTCTCTTTCTTTTTCATACACATAACCATTTATTTTCACTTTTCTTTCTTTCACTCTTCCTATTCTTTCTTTAATACAGTGTAACCCGGATATAAGAGAGTTGTCGGGACCGGAGAAGAAGTCTCTTATATCCGGGTTTCTCTTATTTCCGGGTTTGGTCTATTTTATATACATTAACTCAGGCTCTATTTTGAGACCAGATAAAATCTCTCTTATATCCGGGTTTCTCTTATATCCGGGTCTCTTATATCGGGGTTACACTGTATTATCTTTCACTTTTCCTTTCTTTCTTTCTTTCTTTCTTTCTTTCAATCTTTCTTTCTTTCTTTCTTCAATACAGTATTTTCTTCTTTCTTTTTCATGCAGTTACTCATTTATTTTCTCAGTTCTCTTTCTTTCTATCTTTCTTTTTATATAGTCTTCTTCTTATGCAGTATTTCTTTCTTTCCTTCTTTTTCTTTCTTTCAATACTGTCTTTATATCTTTCATTTTTCCGTTCTTTCGTTCTTTCTTTCTTTTTTTCTTTTCTTTTCTTTCTTTCTTTCTTTATTTATTTCTTTATTTCTTTCTTTCTTAAAGACAGACTTTCTTTGTTTTTCATGAACTTAATCACTCATTTTCACAGTTTTCCTTCTTTTTTTCTTTTCATATGGTCTTCATTTTATGCGATTTGCTTTCTTTCTTTTCCTTTCTTTTTCATTCTTTCTTTCTTTCTTTCTTTCTTTAATGCAGTCTTTGTGTTTTCTTTCTTTAATGCAGTTAATTATTCATCTTCAGTTTTCTTTTTTCTTTTTCATACAGTCTTCATTTTATGTGGCTTTTCTTTTCTACCCTTCATCTTTCTTTTCAAGCAATTCATCGTTCATTTTCAGTTTTCTTTCTTTTTTCTTTCTTTTCATTCAGACTTAATTTTATACAATTTTTCTTCTTTTTTCCTTTTCGTTTCTTCTCTTTCTTCAGTATATAATTGTAAGTTTAGAAATATTCTCGTCTCTCATCAATATTTTACCTTTGCAATCGATGGTGACAATATGAAAATATTCCGAGCGTTTGCAGTCAAAAAGAATTTGCTAGAATTGCTTTTCTATAGGACTGAGTGGATTTTCCGTCGTGTTATTTCACGTTAATTTGCTCTTACTTTTCGCATAAGAGAAGAGAAAACTCGCTCCGTAAGAAAGAGACACTACAGGCCAATCGATAATCGGTGATCGATATAACAGTCATCTCCGCGAGGGTTATTTCCTAAGTCGTCAATCAATAATGCCGGAAGTCTTTTCAATCACCTCATTTTACGTCGATGTCAGGTAAATATGAATGAAGCTGAGTTAAATCAAAAATTTATGGAATTCTTTACTGTTTTTTCTTCTTTTAATTATTATTATTATTATTGTTTTTTATTTTCTTTGATTTCTGGCATTTACACATTTCTTTCCGGGTCTTGCCCATGGACCTAAGGTTAGAAATGGCATCATGACACTTTCCACTGCCAAAAAAAAAAAAAAAAAAATTACATAGATAAAGCCCTTCGTAAAGTGTGGGCTGTACTTGTCAGAACAATTTTTTGTATCTCCTTGAGGCATAGACTTCCAGGAATCCCGTCAATTAGTCTACTGCAATCTTTTCCAACCAATCCTAGGGCGCCAACTACAAAAGGGATTGTTGATGTTCTTATATGCCACATTTTCGAGATTTCTGTTTCAAGGTCCTTGTATTTTGACAGCTTTTTGAATATCTTCAAAGATACATTGCAGTCAGCAGAGACTGCCATATCAATAAGGAGGCACTTTTTTGTTTGTGGTCTTTAATAACAATATCTGGGCAGTTGGCTTTGATTGTTCTGTCAGTGTGTATTGTGTAGGCCCATAGAATTGTAACAGGACCTATCTCCGTAATTATTATTATTATTATTATTATTATTATTATTATTTCCTTGGGTTTCTGGTGTAAAGACATTTCCTTTCGGGTACCAAACAGAGATCTAAGGTCAGAAATGATTTCATGACATATTTTACTGATCATTTTGGAAAAAAAATAACAAAACAAAAAAAGACTAAGCTCGCACGCATGTGAACTGTACTTGTGAGTACTAGTGTTTATATCTCTTTAAGGTATGGGCCACTAGGAACCCCTTTACTAAGTTTATCAGAAACTTTTCCAATCAATCCAAGTGCCCCAATTACAACTGGAATTGATGTCTTCATGTGCCACATTTTTTAGGTTTTCACTTTTCAGTCATAGTGTTGACGACTCGCCACTTAAGAAAATCACCTTTTAAGATGGTTGAACTCCTGTCATTCCGAAGCGCCCTCTGTAGATATCCTTACACTACTACTGAAAAGACTTGACAGGCTCGTATTTAATAGGAAATATAGGCCCCAGAAATGTGTGTATTGATTTACATGGAATTTATTTTTTAGTAACACGTAAGATTTATTAACCAATCAGGTTGAATATTTTAACATTTGAAATGCAGTGTATCTGTAGCAGTTTATCTTCGGGCGGCTGACAGAATTTAAAGCTGTTTTACAGATTAATTATTGCTAGGGTAAGAAAGATGGTGTTCTATATCTCTGATGTAGTAACTGTGTTTTCTTTCCCAACAGAGAAGGTAATATCAGCCATTTCCTTATATGGAAACATTCGGTTTCAATTAATCGAAAATCCAGTGATACTGTCTACTGAAATTTCTGAAAAAAAACTTTATCTTAAAATAATCTTTCGGGAAAATAAATTTCTCAAGTTTTCTGTTATCGTTCATTCCAGTATTGATAGGGATATTCTTCCTAGCCTGTTGTTTGAAACAGTGTGGAATCATAACATCTTGATTATGTTTTTATTTTCTCTTCAAGATACACGGGCTATCCATTTATGTTGTTGCTGCTGTTGAAAGTCCCCAAGTGATGTGGTTTCTGTTATTTGGTACAGTCCTTTGTTAGGGATTATGTAGCGTCAGTCCAAAAGGTTCGAAGAAGGATGGTCCTTTCTAAGACCTACAGTTTTCATTTTAATCATTGATCTGAGAAAGCGGTTGTGTACAATTAACATTTTAGACATTTCTGAGCGAACTGGGCAGCATGCATACGTTCATATATATGTCTCATTTTGATTAGGCTATTTAATATTAAATGCAACATTTTAGATTAACGTAACATTAAAAATGCCAATGCATCAGTTACTATGCTACAGAAAATTGCAATAAAATCATGGATGACTTGTGTGTGTCATCCAGTAATCCTCTACCTTGAGTAGATTTGGGGCATTGTATTGGTTAAAATTTAATAAAATACAAAGCAGTCTCTCCCAGAGACTAAAAGCTATCCAACTAGTAAAAAATACAAGTGCTTCTTTGTTCGCCTGTTTCAGTGCTTATGTTAATATTTACGATTCATTGACGTAACAGCCAATGTGAATGTCGGTTTTAATTTATAAAATTATTGTTTAAAGAAAATAGGTTTCTAAAGCCAGTAATTACTTTTTTCTCTTTCCAGTCTTGAGCGTTTCGTTCTTAACTCTTTGTTTGAAGTAGAGTGGGACATCACCATCTTGACTGTGTCATTATATCTTTTCGGCATTACATGTGCTGTCCATTTTAATAGTTGCTGCTGTTGGTAGTCCTCAAGTGATGCGCTTTCGGTTACTTACTATAGTTCTTTGTGATTATGTAGCCCAAGTCTACGATATTCGAAGAAGGGTCGTCCTCTCTTTAGTTTTCATTCGTCGCTCGAAGCTATTTTTATCGGTGAAAGCTGTTGTATACAATTGACAGTTTAGACATTTCTGATCGAAATGGGCGCCATTCTTGATCTGATGTGGTTATTTCAGACCATGACTCGAGAAAATTAGAAAATAATTTGCGAATTTCGAACAGGCAGTGACACGTGAAAACTGCTGACGGCTGACAAGGAGTGTAACCACCTAACGAAGAGGAAAATAGCATTTAAGTGGATTCGATTTCAACGTTAGTACCGTCTAACCTCATCGGACAACGTACTGAATAGCGTACTCTGAATTCCATATGGCTTCGTAATCGTCAACGAACAAAGGTAACATTATTAACACCACCCACCGCTTATAGTGACTCACTTGAGCCAGAAAACAACACCATTTCAAGCAGACGGCCGTGTTCATGTGTAGAGAAAATCGCATGTTGGTGTGGTATAAGGAAATCATTTTAAAGAATATAAAGTTTAGTTCAGAATTTACAAAATGGAATCGCAAATGTAAAAGATAATAGCAGGACAGTTTAAAAATGGTGAAAGGTAAGACAATCTGCTTTAACGTATGAAGTTGAACATTATTTACTAACCAGACAAATTACCTATAATAACGGCTAGCTAGTTGTATCCAAGGATGCCCCTCTACTAGGGCTTCTATCTAATCCCTATTGCAGACGTCCGCTCAGGCACATTTGTGTTTATTCAACACCTATAGAGACCATCTGCAACTATGCTGATCAGACGTTAGTTACAGTTTCTTGGAGAGAGCACGTTATCTAGCGTGATCAATAGTCGGAATAAGACCAGCACACTCCAACGCTCGGTCACGATGACTTGTGACTTCGTGCTAGCACAGCCATCGAGGGTTCCCAATCTAGTAATGAAAAAGAAAAGATGGTAAAAGGAAAACGCCATTAAATTTCTCATCTTTTATTTCAGTGGTTGAACAGATATTTTTTAGAATCCCTTCGTTAGTTAGCACGACCCTTATGGCTTGCCAATACCTCATAAATAACGGACTATTCCGCGTTTTGAACGCATGGAAAGAGGGGAAAACATTACTTGGTTTTAATAAAAAAATGAAAGAGGGGGAAAGAACGAAAAGGAGAGATAGAAGTGGGGAGAGAGAATCAGATTATGATAATAAGAACAGATACTATACTTTGATCTCAGCTAAAAGGTCAATAAATCATGGCGACCTCGACATTTCTCATACGTAGAGTAGCGAGCAACGGAAACCAAGTAAGGCAATCGCCAAAAATTCAATTACTATAAATTAAATTAAATAACCTCGTCTACTGAATTATTTTTAGATTATTATTAAGGGAAATGTTCGTAAGACGGGGATCTGGTTAGAAATAATGAAAGAAAGAACAAAGAAATAAGAGAAATAAAAGTCAATATCTCATAAATAATGGACTATTCCGTTTTGATCGCGTGGAAAGAGAGGAAAATACACTGCTTGATTTTAGTGAGAAAATCAAAGACAAAAGATTATAGGCTGTTCTAGTGAAAAAGAGAAAAATGTCAATTTCAAATCTTTTCATTTGTACCCTCTTACTTAAAATAACGACCGGCATTCATATTTATGATTGTTATTCCACTAATTTGTTAAAATTTTTAAGCTCAACAAATATTTAGCGAAGCAATTGAAGAATTTCTACGGATATTTTATTGTCGCAGAACTCGCCATGATTATCCAATCATTAACTTAAGAATTGGGATTCATCAGAAATTTTCGATAGGAAAACAGACAGATTTTCACGGGTCTTTCTAGTTGTTGGTTTGCACAAATCGTTCTCTACGTGTCGGTTGGTCAGCAACAAGGTTTGATTGATTGTTTTTTACGGTTTGTCAACATTTTGCTGGTTATTTAAAGCCAGAAAATAGGTTTAGAATGTAAGAATTTGGGTAAGGGAGATAATAATGATTTATTGATACAAATCCGGCAAATTAACCAATAGCTGAGGAGGATAGAAAAAATAGATTCATGCCTTCCCCAAGGATATTTGCGCATAAGTGAATACAACAAACCCAACTAGGATTAGGAACTCGGCTCTACGATTTCAAATTTGGAGCCGATATCCTTTACACCATAGGAACATTCACGGCCGTATCAAGCGGTCACCTATCTAGGTACTGACCAGGCTCGACGTTGCTTAACGTTGTGATCGTACGAGAAACGGTATTTCAAAATGATGTGGCCGTAAGGCGTCAGCCACAAGGATTTCGTGCTTTTTTCCCCATGATATCGTCTGGGAAATAAAAGAAATTACTGCCGCTTTTGTTCAAACTGTTTTTTTCTGGAATTTTTCTGACAGTTTGTCGAAGAATTGGCTGTTATCGTGTTTTTTTTTGTTGCTAAGGTGTGGGAGGGCCGGCCGCCCTAAAGAAGTAAACATCAATTATAGTGTTAACCACTCCTTAATATATTTGGGAACTTGTCACTCTGACGGGTCTTTATTTGTTGATATCCGAAGGCTAATACTGAAAAGCCATCACAGATTGGTATTTACGAGAAAAAAAATAGGCCCCAGAATCTTGCGTGCTAATTTCTTCCAGAAGTTATTTTTGGGCACGTGACAGATTCTTCAGTTGGTCAGTTGAGTTTTTTAAATGTTTTATTTAAACTTTATTTTGATCTCAAATCGTCACATATTCCAACCACCGCCCCCACAAAAATAAATAAATAAAGGGTAAAAAGGTTAGTTTTTCGCACGAATATTGCCTGCTGCCTATAACCGTTTTCTAAGATCAATGGTTAAAAAAAAATTGAGCAAGTGAAGCTAGTAGATCTTGGCAAAGATCATCCTTCTTCGAATCTTGTGGACTGGTGCTACAGAATCACAAACAAAGAACTGTACTAAATAACAGAAACCACATCACTTGAGGACTTTCAACAGCAGAAACAACTAAAATGGATAGCACATGTAAACTCAAAGAGAAAATAATGAATCCTGAGTGTCTTGGCAAAGATCATCCTTCTTTGAACCTTGTGAACTGGTGGTACAGAATCACAAACAAAGAACTATACGACATAAGAGAAATCACAACACTTGGGGAGTACCAACAGCAGCAACTACTAAAATGGATAGCACATGTAACTCGAAGATGAAATAATGGCACAATGAAGATGCTGAACTTTCACTCTACTTCTTCGAACAAAAATTTAAGAAAACCTGGAAAGAAAAAGAGTAGGTACTAGAATTTCGCAACCTTTTTTTCTTGAAACAATGATTTTATAAATTTCAGCCGAATGTACCACTGGCTGTTCGTTTAATACCTGTCAAATATTTCCTTATAAAGAAACGGCTAATTCTGACGGGCGAATAAAGAAACATTTATATATTTTACTAGTTGGACGTCATTTAGTTTCTGAGAGAGATTGAAAAATGCTTTCTTTTTTAAATAATGTTGATATTACACAACTACTTTACATAAAAAGATTAGGAAGGAAAAGCCCATTAATACTAGAAAAAGCGATAAGTGTTACTGAACTTGAGAAACCCATCCCCATTCAACGTTGAAGTGTTAGGGTTAGTTATCGTTATTTCGAAGAAACGAGGTAGTATTAGTATAAAGTAGATGTCTGTAGAGTTTTTAGTACCTCGATTTAATAACAACGTTACAAATAACCTTTCACTTTTTTGTTTTGTTTCCTAGAAAGCAATTTACAGCGGAATCTTGCGACGACAGATTAGTTTCCAACTATTATTTGAAAATTCTACGGCTTGTGAGACTCACAGATATGAAAGATTAATGGCAATGACTAACGTTTGATTTACTTGCGGGTTTGGCTGATTGTTGAGCTTGCTGATTAACTACGGATCACTTGAGGTTAGAGAAGATTTGGCAAAGATAAAAAAAAAAATCCTGATTAAAAGCAAAATCATACGAATCTTTACTCGAAGTTTCCAACTGGATAATGGCTTATGGTCTTATCAGGTTGAAACATCGGTTATCGTACGATCATCAAAGTTAAGCAACGTCGAGTCTGGGCAGTACATAGATGGGTGACCGTCTGGGAATATCAGGAGTTGTAAGCCTGGTTTTCAGGTGGTATAAGAGATTCACAGCCATATCGGTATTTATCATTTTACCCACGAGAAACGAATATGGCACAAGGCCGGTTTTATTGTGGGTTTCTCCGAGCCCGTAGGCCCGGCCAAAAAAATAGCCTTTGAAGCCGATTAGACGGGTTCAGGCCCTGTCTACCTCCCCGTACGAAACCTTGCCCTTCGGCAAAGCCTCGTCCGGGTTCCTCTCTGCTAATGCAGAGAGTTCGACAGAAGGTGTGCGCAGTCAGAGACCGCTCAACACCGTTCACAGCCATATCACGTCGAAACAACCCTTCTCGTACGATCATCAAAGTCAAGCAACGTCGAGTCTGGTCAGTATATAGATGAGTGACCGTCTGGCAATATCAGGTGTTGTAAGCCTTGTTTGCGGGTGATATGAGACTCACAGCCATATCACGTCGAAACAACCCTTCTCGTACGACCATCAAAGTCAAGCAACGTCGAGTCTGGTCAGTACATAGATGAGTGACCGTCTGGCAATATCAGGTGTTGTAAGCCTTGTTTGCGGGTGGTATAAGAGACTCACAGCCATATCACGTCGAAACAACCCTTCTCGTACGATCATCAAAGTTAAGCAACGTCTAGTCTGGTCAATACCTAGATGGGTGACCGCTTGAGAATAACAGATGCTGATGTTGTAATCTTTGATGTGCAGGCGGAATATAACGTTGAAACATCGCTTCTTCTACGATCATCAAAGTTAAGCAACGTCGGGTTTGGTCAGTAACTAGATTGGTCACTGCAAGGGAATATCAGGTGCTGTAACATTGAATTGAGGATGGTATTATGGGCTTACGGTCAGATCCCGAAGAAACATCGCTTTTCGTACGATCATCAAAGTTAAGCAACATAGAACTTGGTCATAGATATATAGAAGGGAATATCAGGTGCTTTAAGCTTGGATTAAGGGTGCTATAATGGGCTTACAACCACATCACGTTGAAACATAGCTTCTCGTACGTTCATCAAAGTTAAGCAACGGGGAGCTTAGTCAGTACATGGATAGTTGACCGCTCGGGGATACAAGCTGCTCTAAGCTTGGATTGCGAGTGTTATAATCGGATTATGCGCATATCACTTCGTACGACCACCGAAGTTAAGCAACGTCTAGCCAGATCTGTACCTAGATGGGTAACCTCTTAGAAATACCAGGTGCTAGTGCTGTAAGAATTATATGCAGGTGGTATGTTTTACAAACCTATCGAGTTGAAGCACCGGTTATCGTACGATCACTGAAGTTACGCAACGTTGAGCCTGGTCAGTACAGAGATGAGTGACCGCTTGGTGTAACAGGTGCTCTAAGCTTGGATTGCGGGTGGTATAATAGGCTTGCGGACATATAAAGTGGAAACATTGCTTCTCGTACGATCATCATTTTTAAGCAACATCGAGTCTGGTCAGTACGTAAATGGGTGACCACTTGGGAATAAGCTTGGATTACGGGTGGCGTAATGGATAACTGCACGAATTACAAATCTGATAGCTGAGTTCCAATTCCAGTTGGGTTCGTCTTGTTCACTTACGTGCAAATAGTTTTGGGTAATGTATGAATCAATAAACTACCCCTGTACAAGGCCCAAGAGCCACTCGAGATAGAGGGTTACAGTTAAACTCTCACAGGTTAAGATAGTAGTGATCGGCGAAGCATCCTCTTAGGAGTCCATTCCATAAGGCAGCGGTTGGGAGGAAACTGCTCGAGTGGAAATTATATCTCACCAATGGACCATGAAGGGAATGAGGGTGGTTCGCTACAATGTGCGCAGTGTGGAGGGTCTTAGTTGTGAAGGTTAGAACTGGTGAAAATAAGGAATGTAATTCGTTTAAATACTTTCCATCGAAATAGGGAAGAGTAGCGAGGAAAATTGGTTGTATGATGGAAAATAATTCATCACCCACAAGGACGCATAGACGCGTCTTGAACTCTATCGAGACTGGAAAGTGAAAACTGGGTATCTCCTGTCCATCTATGGCAGCATACTCCATTTTCGGCCGGATATGGCTCTTGTAAAGGCAGAGGGTAGCAGAGAAACTTTGGGGCTCTATTGAGACTGGAAAGTGAAGACTGGACTGCTCCTCTCCATATATGGCAGCAATACTCCATTTCAGCCGGATATGGGTCTTGTAAAGGCACAGGATAACGGAGATGCTTTTGAGATCTATTAAGACTGGAAAGTGAAGACTTGGCAACTCCTGTCCATATATGGCAGCAGTATTCCATTTTAGGTCTGATATGGCCCTTGTAATAGCAGAGGATAGCAGAATGATCCAGGTAGTTACTGCAGCAGTACAGAGAATCAGCTATTTTTTCAATATCTTTACCGATGAATCGTATGCACGAGTTCCACTTGAGGTCAGGTTTGAGGTTAAGTCCCAATAGTCGTTCAAGTCTTGAGCCCATACTGATAGTACACCCATTCATAGTAATAGATAACAATTCCAGTTTCATTTGCTGGAACGTCATTAGTTTTATCCGGTGTTCCTCAAATGGTGTTCCCCAGTCTTAGGCTGCTAAGGACCACTGTCTTGTAGAGAACAAACCATCTTTATCCTGTCAGCTTTCGTCTAATAATTCGGTTGACATTCTAAGAACCAGGTAATCTGGATTGGTTCGTAATTTTACTATCTACGTACGACATATTATTGGAAAATCCCTAATATCATGAAATTCTAGAAATCTTTTTCAAGAAAAATATGAGCTCTCCGGCAGGGTTCGAACCCGCGTTTCCCTTGACAGGAGAAACTGTCGTTAGTTCCGACGTGCTTTAGACAGGTCGGCTAAAATAAATAAATATACTGTTTAATAAATTAAAGTAGCATCTACTCAAATATGAATATCCTAAAAAATGAACGAGTATGTTTTAAAATCTCTGGGATTAATAAATAAAAATCCATCAGTTATTTATAAATTGCTTTGTTTACGCCGGGATACGAAACCAAGCAGATAAGATTGTTTGGAGTGTCACAGGAAGATTTGCGTTTATAAGGCAGTTTTCAACATTGCTTGATCGTCGACGCACACCAAGATTGAGTCAGTCTAAATCACGTTTGATTTAATATCAGTTTCTCCTGCAGAAGATACACAAGTTCGAATCCTGGCAGCGAACACTTATAGTACTGATTTATCTGCCTTAACCCCCGAGGTTGAGAGTACACTTTTCTGTGGAGATGGGGGCGGTCTTACCACATTTTGTTCGCGTTTTTCAGTCCCAGCTGATTGAACAGTTTCAACTGGATACAGTGTTCTACAGCAATTAAATATCTAAATATATACAAAAATGTTCAAAAACGCTTCATACTGTTTTTAAAAATAGATATGTAATTTTATTCCCCAACAGATAAAAAAAAATAGAACGGGATTTCTTTTAGAGGATTTATTTTTTCAGAAATTTAATTGGAATGGAATCTCAGAACAGTGTGATCATTTTTAGACTTGTGAGAAAAAGAAATTGCTACAAATCCCTTATTTGTTGGATTGCTTTTGCTTTTGGCGAAATCATACCGAATCATTAAAGTTAATTAGAAAACTAATACTGCCTTTCAAAAAGTTCGTATATTATTATTTTTATATATAAGATAAGTTAGTTCATTTATTTTCGCCTATTTAAAAATAATAAAAGTACCGATACTTGAGGTGATGTTTGAGTTTATATATAAAGAAAGATGTAGGAATAATTTTCCGTGTTTTCTTTGTGGAATTCTTTTTATCGAAATATGAAATAAAAAAAATATGTTTATTGAAAATAACAATACAAAAAATGTTGCATCTTTTCCCCAAAGTACTAAAAATAAATATATGGAATAAATTGGTGCATTGGGGACGATCAAAAAGGAGAAAATAATTTTATGCAAGTTAATAAGGATACATTTTCTGCTCTCTAAGGCGATTGTGTGAGAATTTGAAGTCCTACCAGAAGAATTTGAAGTACTAAGATATATAGACGACTATTGATAGCAGGCACAGAAGGTAAACTACAGGGTCTTCAACAGAACTTTCGCAAAACAAAGTGAGAAGAAAGTACTAATCATCAAGTGCAAGAAAATAGAACGCATGGTCGTCAGCAAAAGGAACATGCCATCATATGAACTACTAATGAGAGACATCAAAATCTAGCAAGTACAAACATGTCCCAATAGGCGTTCAAACCTCGATCCCACCCTTATAGAACACCCGTTCATAGTGATAGATAACAATACTGTGTCCATTTGCTGATGATGGAACGTTATTAGTTTTAACCGATGTTCCTCAACCGGTGTTCTCCAGAACACAATAGAGGTCCTCTGTCTTAGGCTGCTAAGGACCACTGTCTTAGGCTGCTAAGAGAGACAAATCATCTTTATCCTGTCAGCTTTCGTCTAATATTTCGGTTGACGTCCTAAGAACCAAGGCAACAAACCCTGGGTTGGTTCGTAATTTTACTATCCACGTGCGACATTGTTGGAAAATCCCAAATATCTGGAAATTCTAGGAATCCTTTTAAAGAAAAATATGCGCCCTCCGCAGAGAGCAGGATTCGAACAAAAGGTTCGAAACATTTAGGAAGTGTTTTAACAAAGGATTGACACCGAAATTCAAACGCGCATTGTAATAATATAAAAATTTTATTTTTTGTTAAAAAATGATAAAAATCTGTGAATAATTGTCTAGGTTCTTTTTATACATGTTTTCAGAAAAGTGTATTCTTTTGAAGCCCAGACAATTTGTGTGTTAAAATCTATGCAAATTTTATTGCCTTTTAGGCTCAAGCGGTGACACCGCCAACATTGTTTGATGTGTTTCGGATTCATTTTTTGAATACTTGAAGAGTTTTTTTTTTTTTTTTATTGGTCAATAAGAAACAAGTTTTTTTAGCCCTAGTAAAATTTTGGCTGGAGCCGATATGATGATCACTTTTTCAATAAAAAGGACTGCTATCAGCGGACGAAGGGAAGAACAGAGAGAAGACAGAGATTGTGTCGTTAACGAGGA